AAGGAAGGCCGGCCCTCCCTCGGAGCGCGCGGGCCCGCTTCTCGGACCCCCTCAGCCCAAAGGGCCGCGCTGCCTGGCTGGGGCTCCTTCGCCGCCCGCCGGGGCTGGCTCGCTGTCTCCTTTTCATTCCTAAAGAAACGCGCTTGCGCTCAGGACTTTGCTTCTGAGCCTCCCCAAGGTATTACGGTCTGGCGTTTTAAATCAATTCTTTTAAGTGCCAGAAGTCCTGTTTCTGGAAAGCACCTGGAACCTGAATGACAAGATTGTTCAATCCCGCTACACGCAGACAGACAGACAGACAGACAGACAGACAGACAGACACACACACACACACACACACACACACCACACACACACACAAACACACAGTAGGTGACACCACCCACTGAGAACCCAGGGGTCAGCACAGAGAAACTGAACTGGGTTGATCTAGGAAGAAATAAACAATTAGCCATGTGCCTGATACGGAATACAATGGCCATAGGAACTGCTAGCCAGGCCAGGCCTGGTCTCCACTAAGACATTAGCTGAGTTGGGTTCAAAGGCTGGACGCCATAAGGAAAACGGCCAGATGGCGTGCCTAAAGTTCTGTTTTAAAACAAACCAAACCACCCAAACCAAGAGTCCTTACAGCCCTGGTGTCTCTTGTTGGGAGTGGTAGCTCATGTCTGTAATCTTGGCACTTGAGGGACTGAGTCAGGAGGTTGGCCATGAGCTGGAGGCTAGCCTGGGATACAGAGTGAGTTCCCACACAAGTTCCCAAACACTCTAGGTTACAGAGAGAGACCCTGTTTATAATAAATAAAGTCTTGTGAATGGGGCAGCAGTTTGTTTCTTCTTAAGACCAGGCCTTGCGTTCTGTGTCCAGGCTGATATGGAATTTACAACATAGCTCAGGCTGGCCTCCAGCACACAGCAATCCTCCTGCCTCCCCAGTGTTGGAATTATAGGTTTGAACCACAGTGCCCAGTTAGGATGACAATTTTCACCTCTTTAAGGAACTGCCATATTTGAAGGAGTATCATTCATTTTACCTACTTTGAAAATGAACAACCCAGTGTGGTACGAATCTGTAATCCCAGCCCTAGAGGCTACGGCAGGAGAACCTGGAGTCCTGGGCCAGCCAGGGCTACATAATCAGACTTGTCCTAAAAAAAGAATTCAAACCGAAAAAATGTTCATGCTTCATCAACCTTCCTCCCTTCTCCTTCCCTCTTTGACCCAGAAATGAAAGTAAGAAAATCTGCCTTCTGTCAAATGGAATTTTTCTTTAATTCCCATTCTGCACAGAACCCGTGTGGAATATTTATCCTTCCTATGTGTGTTTAGCCTTTATAGCTGCTCCTATCATTTATCTGTTTCACAAATACACGTTTCTCTACAGGCATGCTAGGGATGTAGCTCGCTTGTGTTTTACAGCTCAGAGTATGATTAAAGCACAACAGCCGGGCGTTGGTGGCGCGCGCTTTTAATCCCAGCACTCCAGAGGCAGAGGCAGGCGGATCTCTGTGAGTTCGAGGCCAGCCTGGTCTACAGAGCGAGTTCGAGGACAGCCAGGGCTACACACAGAGAAACCCTGTGTGTGGTGGGGGTGGAGGTGAGGGTGGGGGGATAAAAAGAAGGAGGAGGAAGAGGAAGCACAACAACAATAAAGGCCTGACTAAGTGCTAGAAAAGTTAGATGTGGATATACTCATTCAATTCCTGTCCTCCCTTTGTTAATTTCGGCACCAAGACACTGGACCTTTAAATAAACCTAAGGAGAGAATTGTAATAACTTGTGCTGAAGATGACTGTTCAAATTGTGTCATTATATTCTTAAGGGAGATAGGTGAGGAACGTATTTCCAGAATCGGATGTAAATTCTTTCAAGGGTTCCGCTTGTTCCACCCCAGTCGTCTTTCCCGAGTGCTGTGGTACCCACAGACACTGATAACTAACAGTAAGATAGATTTACACCTGCTTCCTAGATGGCAGAGCGTCTGTCTGAACACTGGATTCACTAGCACTTGGGATGGTTAGCACTCGATAGCCAAGCAGTGGAGCTCAAGCTTCGGTTTTCAAGGCATCATCTGGGACATTTCACCACAATAAGAAACCAGATACAGAGAAGAATACTGCAACGCTAGATGCTGGGGACCTGTGTTTTCCCAGTATTATAGGAATGTTAGGCATGGTTGAACACACCTTTAACCCTAGTGCTCAGAGGCAAAGGCAGTGGCTGGGGGGTCTCTGTGAGTCAGAGGGTAGCCTGGACTATGTAGTGAGTTCTAAGACAGCCAAGGGGAGAGAGAGAGAGAGAGAGAGAGAGAGAGAGAGAGAGAGAGAGGCCCTACCTCAAATAGAATCAATCACCCTAACAAACGCTATTCTAGGAGATTCTGAGGCTGATAGTTTATAGACTTTAGGAAACCTGAATCTTACAAGTACCCCGAGATGATCCCAACCTTTTCTAGACCCTTTTCATTGCAGGTTATTATCAGATCACATCTATTCTGTCTGTATTAGTCCACAATGGTGGCCACACAAAATGCCACACTGCTGCCTAAATAACAGACACTTGTTCTCATCTCCTGGAGGCTAAAGCCAAAGATCATGGCATGGACAGGTGTGGTTTCTTCTGGCCTGCCTCCTTGCCCTCTGGTCCCACAGTCATCTCTCTGGTCTGTCTGCATCTGCTTCCTCTCTCTACCTAGGTGCAGATCTCCTCTATTACTGTTGGTTTACATTATTGAGAGACAGGGTCTCTACAGGTAACCCAGCAAGCCAGCCTTCAACTCATTATTTGGCCCAGATTATGCCCTACCAGAGTACCCGACTTCCAAATGCTGAGGTTAGAGGCATGTGCCACCACACCCAGACTAACTTCTCATAAGATAACCAGTCTGATTGGATTGGGGCTCACACTAATGGCTGCATTAGAAAACGGTTGTCTCTTTAAAGGCCCTAGGTCTATTCGTATTCTGAAGAAATCAGGAATTGAGTTTCACTGCATGCATTTTTGGGCACAGTTGGGCCACACCATCCTATTCTTTCCCCTGCAGAAACTGTCATCTTGTTGTGCAAAGGACCCAGAAGCCGCCATCTCCCTGCTCATCTCAGACATTTCTGCTAAGTAGCTTCAACCCCTGGATGATTTCTTTGTTTGTTGTTTAGTGTGGGCTTTCTGGGTTTGGACCCAGGACCTCACACCTGCCCAGCAGGCTCTTTACAATTCCAGCTATACTCCTAGCTTGCCCTTAAACTTTCCTTGAAATTCAGCAAACCATGCAACACACCATGCTGCAAGTACAAATATGCCAAGGATATATGGAAGGTGCTTATTTA